CTGGAAGTTGAAGTCCACTTATCTTAAAGTGGCCAAGTTTGGACAACACTGCCTTAGAGTCAAACTATGAATTGGTCTGCATTTTTTTTATTCCACATGTCATTTGGTATATTACATTTCCTTTATAAGGTAAACTTTCACACATTGAAATGAAAGCAGATGCAGTGAAAGATTTCTCCATCCTTCAAGTCTCTTACTATCAATTTCCCAGTTCATATTAGTAAAGAGTGTATTGGCCAAAGTGAGGGAAAGATGCTGTGAACGGACAGTCTCTTCTATTATCACATTTGATTTTCCTGAAAGATCTACAGTATATGTTTCCAGAGTACTTAGTCTATGAAGGCAGGTTTGCTCTCTCAAATAACTTTAACACTGTTGAAAATGAAGTAAGTTCATGTTCTACAATCTCTGAAAGTATAATAATGACTAATGCTGGTTTGATACTGAGAATTGTGGCAGGACCGAGTCACTGGATGGAAGGTTGAAAGGTCAGCCCTTCTCTTCTAGAAGCTCCCTGAGTTTACACACCCTAGATTTCCCTCCCGTTTTGGTATGCAGTTATGTAGTCCTCCCTGCAATCATCAGGCTTCCAATAGCTTACCTGCTATCCTCTCCTCTAATCCCAATATGTGAGAGATAGGGATCCTACACCATGTGTTACTTTCTGGCAATTTAAAAGGGGGAAAAAAATGAAATAAACCTTATAGCACCACTTGCTGGCTATAGTGTGTTGTTATGAAAACCAGCACCTTCTTCTCCCTCTCTTCATTGGTTTATGAATTAGACCAATGTCACAGAGAAAAATAAAATCAAGCTTTATTAAAAAGAATAAGAAAAAAAAAAGAAAATGTAAAAATTCCTTTTTAACCAAGTGTTGACTTGCAAAACAATTACAGAGGAAATAAAAATAGAATGCTATGGAAATGTCAGGGAGCATCTTAACAGTTCCTACAATAGAAAATATGCTGGAAAATATAAATCTCTGGTAGGCCGCAAGATGCTAGTCTGCTCCTATTTAGGGGCAGATTTGCTGCAAAAAGGTTCAAAGTAGCAAAAACACATAGTTACCAAGCTTGCATAGCAGCAACAAGTACCAGAGACAATAAATTAGACTTAAGCACAGAGGGGGGAAAGGGAAATGAAACCTAGAGCAGTTCTTAGCTAACTTTTTCCTATTCCTCTAAAGAAAAGAGTGGATGACTTTTGGAACAGATGTTATTTCTATGCTAATTTGTAACCTGGAAAAATCCTTCTTCCTGCAAATTCCAACTTTGATCAGAGGTTGGAGGAGAATCTCAGATCTCTTTTTCTCCCTCCACACCTTGGCACACAGGTTCTTGTTCCTTTGCTCTCAGAATTCGGCCTGTAGCCGTCAGCTCTACTTGAGTATAGGAACAACATTGCCCTTCAACAATGTGATACTCTGAAGTGCTTGCATTATGCATTTCTATTAAACTTAGCTTTGAAGTAGTCCAAGTATATAGCTATTTTTCAACAGGAACATTTAAAAAATGCAGAGGAGAAACAGGGGCAAATGACTTCTACTAAGAACATATCAGTACATAGATCTAATTTTGTTCAAAGTACAACATTTTCTGCTTCTTTAATGTAAGAAATATAATTTTGTAAGAAAATTTTGATTGCCATTTATTTCAACTTTAGGTATTAGTGTTACTTCAGTTGTTGAATATGCAAATGACTGCATGTCATACCTAGCAGATATTTCTTTTACTGGGCTTCTATCAATATGAACTCTGAGCAGCTTACACACCTGTCATCCATAAAAAAAATAAAGCTATAGAATACAAATCAGGACCAAATAATTCTCATTTACACACTAGGGATTAAAACACACACCCCTCTGCTAGAAGGAACACCCTTATAACATCTGTTTCCAAAGCCTGATGGAACTACATCATGATACAATGGTTAGAAAAGATTTCTTACAGTATACTGTAGTCGAACACTCATAAATTAAGGATGCAAAAAGCTGGTTATATGATCCCTGCTACTTTTTTCAGGTGATCAGTCTAAAGATAATAAAGTGTAGGTAACAGGAATAATGTCATCCATCTTCACCCACAACTACATGTTTCATTACACATCACATATAGTGTACCCACATTTATTGCAATATGGATATTTTATAATGTGCATATATCAAAGCAGATATATCCCTAAACTGAATGCCAGAAATGGCAAGTAAATGGGATATAGGTGCAGTAGAGTATTATTGGGATAGTACAGCCTAAACCAGTTCTATTGGATGCCACTGAATGTTGTTAGGATCAGGTCAATGATGGTGTTAGGTCTGCTGCAGAACTACAACAAATGGTTCCTTCAATAGAAAATAGCTCATTGTTCAGAGCAAGGAAATCACTCTGTGTAATGTTAGTTAACCAGTCTGCTTCCCATATCTTCCCTATCCACTGGCAAAAACAGCTGGGCCATCAAGTTGAAAAAGTTGATGCAGTATTAATCTCCGCTCTGGTTCCAATTAGCTTAGTGGAGCAAGGGTTATTCATAGCTAGCTCTATCCTCTCAGTATATGAGTACAGTGAAATTGTTTCATCTATATTTGGGATTTGGGATATCTGTGCAAAATCAGGGTGATAAATGTGGATAATTGGCATGTCCAAGGAAAGGAAAATGAGAGTCAAGCTCTTTTCTATTGAGATAATATTCTAATCATGCGCTCATTGGAAGGTAGATTGTGAAATTTAACAAAATAGATTCTAATAGCTCTTGTAGGGTGAATATTATACATTGAACATACATAGACTTCAAACAGGTAAAAATCAATCTTGGGTTCTTGGTGTATGCTGAACTTGGTTTTCTTCTTGCAAATTACCTATCAAAGTAGATGATACTGTCAGTGCATTGGTACTAAGGAGAGGGGTTTGCTGGCTTGTTATGTGCGGCAGCTTATCTATCTTGGTCAGGGTTGTTGTAGTTTGGGTGCCTGTTTCTGACTGGCCTACCTGGCTTGGTTGGCTGTTTGTTTCCCCTAAGATTGTTCCTGGCTATTGCGTTGGTTCTCCCTTATCTACATGTTGACTACTGGTTGTGTGATAAGGGAGGATGCGGTCTACACAACTATTCATGAATGTTGCCCTAACATCGGTAAAGAAATCCATATACTTGCATTGGTCTTGACAAGAAACAAGTCAACCTCTTGTTTAAAGGAACATAAAAAGCAGAGGCAGTCCACTATGATAATCTCTACCCCAAGTGCCATCAAAATGAGTAGAAATTACAAGAGATGACCTTGTTGTATCAGCCACTCTTTTGGCTTACATAAAAGATGCAATGTTCCCTTCCATTCCTATCAATAAGATCATATAAAACATTCAGGTTCAGTAAAAGATGAATTCCAGAACATGGGCATTTGGGGCTTTTGTCATTTTTATGACTTCAAATTAAGTTATGCAAAAGTAAAGAGAACACTTTCAATGAAGCCTTTGTATAGTTTATTGTCTACTGTTAAATGTATAAAAAAGGAAAAAAAATGAATAAATGAGGGACATTAAATGGTGAAATTCTGTCCGTGCAAACAATAAATAGTTATTTACAGTCTTCAGCAAAATAAAATGTAAGTCTTATTGATCCCCTCATGCACATAGACGCACACACACACGCACACACACAATCCCTTCTTCTCTCACATACAAGCATGCCACACACAAAGGAAAAGGGAAACCATCATAAATAATTTACATAGCATAGGCAATTATGATACAGTCAAAATATTAACATCTTAGTCCCAGCACTGATGTTTTTTTTATTTAAAAGATACAAAAATGTTATTACATTAATGAAGTTTCCCTCAATAATTCTTCTCTGGGACTTACAGCTATACTTTCAATACATTAAAAATATGATTTGCAAAAAACACCCTCAACAAACCTCATTAAAAAATCCTTTAAAAGTCTGTTAATATGACAAAACGAAGAATGTGCAATAAAGCTAGAAACACCAGATACTTGACAAGGCATATAACATTGAGATCCATTTAAAAATGTATTCAAAGCAGAGGAACTGAAATGTGGCTTACTCTATCACATCCTCAAGGAATTCAAGAAAGGATCCTTGTACAACCATGGGGATGGGGCAGCAACAGAGAGCCCCCCCCCCCCCCCCCCCGC